CAAAAACAGTGAGAAAATTGTCCCCCGACAATTTTGAACTATTTTTGAATACTCCTCCTGTAGAGGGACAGGCCCGACTTAGGTGAAAGGGGATGAACAGGAGGACCGCCTTCGGTTGAGGGAGGACGCCGTGCCGAAGGGGAGGACACGAGGGCGATGAGGAATAGACGAGGACACGAGGACACGAGGACACGAGGACACGAGGGCGAGGTCACGAGGGCGAGAGGAAAAGGGGAGGCGAGAGGAGAAGGGGAGGAAGAAAGGAGGACCGCATTCGCTCGGGGGGAGGGCCGTGCCGAGCAGAAAAGGGGAGAGCGCGGGCCCCACGAATGGTACGCCCCCACCACCAGTTCCCCTCCCCCACCCCTCCTCCGTCATCCTTCATCCCCCTCTGCTAGAGGCCTCTTGGATGGGGTCGGAGCAGATAAGGTCGCAAGATCGCACCGCATCGGCGATATATCGGCGATGCATCGGCGATGCACTGGCGATGCATCGTCGACGTCGACGATGCATCGGCGACGTCGACGTGGAGATATCGACCTCCACATCGAGCCGCATCGGCGATGCATCGGTGATGCGGCGCGATCCTCCGACCACATCCACTCAAACCCCATCTCGGAGGTAGTGGTGGTGTGCATTCTTGAGCCCCGTCAAGGAGGGCACGAGTGCGACAGGGCCAGGGAAGGTCGGCGGAGGCTCGGCTGCCGCGGCACGCGCGCGGCACAGGCGGGCGGCGGAGGCCATGGAGGCGGCCACAGCAGGGGCCCGACCGCAAGAGACCTTTCACGAGAAGCCCAACCTTGAGACCCACGGACGTGCATTGTTTTTCTGGTGCAGAAGCGCTACGCTTCCCGTCGCAAAACCAACGAAACCCGAGAAGCTCAGGGCACCCTGGAGGCAAGCGGGGCGTTTCTTGGTGTGGGCTTCCACCGTAAGACTGGGACAGGCTCCACGAGTCAAGCACGGATCCCTGGAGACCTTTTTTTTTGAATCGGCGCCAACCCGGGTTATCCTGGGGGGGTGGGGGAGGAGGAGAGGGCCGGCCGATAAGCTAACCTTCGCGCTGTGGGCAACCCTGCATATGCCCGCGCCCCCCCCCTCCCGCGGACCTGACAGCCGGCAAGAGTAGGTTATCCTGGGGGGGGGAGGGGAGGGGAGGGGGGGCAAGCCCGATAACCCGTGCTACCGCCGCACCCCCAAAGAAACTAAACAGTCTGCCGGCAGCCTCTTGCCGAGAGGCCCTCAGATGAAAGCGGCGAACACAAATCGCACACGCTCTGGCGCGTCCTCCCGGGGTCCCCATCGAGAGCCCCGGGACCGCCAGAAGACGCGCAGGAAAGCCGCCGAGCGCTGCGGCTCGATGTGGAGCATCGGTCGGTCAGCAGCGATGACGACGTGGCGTTGCCCCCAAGCCGCGATCCCGACGCCGTGCCGACTCGGCGCTGGCCTCCATAACTTGGCGGCGGAGCGCCCCAGCCGTCAAAGGCGACCTGCGATGGTGCTAACAAAATGCATGCGTCTTCCTCTGTTTCTCATGGTCCCGACCGTCCTCCACATCCTGCCTCTGCTGCCTCTGCTGCTACTGCCACCAAATTCGACGGGAGGTGTGGTTCGTTTTCGGAATCCGTGAGCCCTCACCACGCATCTGGACAGTCAAAACACGACCCGTATAAACAAAAGCTTTTCCAGAAACGTGGTAGAGACCTCCAGCATCAGGGGTCGTCGTTGCGACAAAAACACGTCGAATGAAATATGAGTCGTTCGCATCCTCCTGCGCATGATCCTGGCGTCTTCCTCTGATTCCTCCTTCTTCTCGCCTGCCGCGAACCCCATCCTGCTGCCATTGGTACTCCTGTTGCTGGTCATTATTCCCTTGTTGCTGCTGCTGCATCTCCTTCCCTCTTAGAAAAAAAGGGTGGACGAGTAGAGAAAGAGAATGGGCAATACGATGATGAAGACAAGTCGGACGTAGAGATTCGAGGGGTCAGCCGTGTGGAAAGGAGATCAGCAAGGTGGAAAGAGTACGGCGTGGTGAAGGAACTAGGGGCGGACCAAACAAACATAACGGGAATTGGACGAGACCAAAGAGGGAAGGAGCGGGCAGGGGGGAATGAGGCCAGAATGCGATTTTGAGTATATCCGCCGACTCCTTGGGGTCCCTAAGCGTGTGAAAAAAACACCCCCCATAATACCCCTACCCCCCCCCCCGAGTCCCCCAAACCAGCAATTGGACCCAACACACCCCTGGCCCGGGACGGTCCACGCCCGAACTCACCAGGGGGAGCCCAGCCCTCCCCGAGGTCGCTCTGGACCCCCAAGACAGCTCCATCAGGCCTCCCAAGAAGCCCCAATGACGGCCCAAGAGGGCCCATAGTCGCCGAATGATCGCCCAAAAACTTACAGGATGGCTTCCAGACGCCCCAACGGGCACACAGGCCCCGAACAACAAGAATCGTCCCATGCCCTCCAAAAAACTAAATCTGTTTAGCACATCCGCCTGTTTGAGCTTCGCTACTTCCAGAAAGGCCCCAGAAGCTCTGAAGAGAGCCCCCAAGAGGTCCCCGGGGGGACTCCAAAACAGCCGAAGAATGCACCGAGACGGCCAAGTAAGCCCCCAAGACAGCCCAAGAAGGCCCCAGGACGGTCCAAATGAAAAACCCAGAGGGGAGGAACCCGAATGAAAATACCGAGCCTTCGCCCCCAGGTTGCCCCGAAAAGGCCCCCAAAGTCCCAAAGGGAACCCTAAGAACGCTTGAAAAGAAACGCAACACACACACACACACACACACACACACACACACACACACACACACACACACACACACACACGCACACACACACACACACACACACACACACACACACACACACACACACACACACACACACACACACACACACACACACACACACACACACACACACACACACACACACACACACACACACACACACACACACACACACACACACACACACACACACACACACACACACACACACACACACACACACACACACACACACACACACACACACACACACACACACACACACACACACACACACACACACACACACACACACACACACACACACACACACACACACACACACACACACACACACACACACACACACACACACACACACACACACACACACACACACACACCAGGGGGCTCCCAAGAAGATCTCGGTTCCCCACGGGAGCACCCCGAAGAGACCCCACAAAACTCCCCTCAAATTTCGACCCACAACTTCGACCCAGAACCCTGTCAGATTTTACAATTTGAGGACCACGCGGGGTTTCGATACGGGATGACCACATGCGTTCCTGGGGTGCACGAGTCGCCTCGGACGGCCGTCGGAGGCTGGATTTGGAAACCAAAGCGATACCACATGTTTTTCTTCTCTGCCCCCTCCTCCTCCTCCTCCTCCTCCTCCTCCTCCTCTTCCTCCGTCTCTTCCTCCTATTCATCCATTTTCTCCTTCGTCTACTGTTTTTCCTCCTGCTCCTCCTGTTTCCTCCTGCCCCTCCTCCATCTCCATAGAACCTCTCCTCCTATGCCTCCCCCGAGCGGATCCGAACATTCGCGCGCTGCCACGAGCGAGTCCGCGGGTTTCGCGCGCACGCCTTGCGCTTCAGCGCGCGGCTTATGGTTGGCACGCGCGAAGTGCGGCCCAACCGCGAGAGGAAATGTCAGAAGTGTCCTCCTGAGGGCGCCGCAGCAGTGGCCCGTTTGCGCGCTGTGAAACTGACGGCGCTTCAATCCGCCCATGCAATTGTACTCTTCCCGATGAGGCGGTGGCTCCCGTGCTTTTTGGTTCTTTGGTCCCGCCGAGAGAATTCCTTCACGCACGCGGCGCACCTCAACTCTCGCTTCAAACGCTTCGCCGCATCGGCTACTCCCTTCGCGGCGACGCCCCGCTTGCGACGCCCCCCGCACTCCGCTTTGGTGCCCCTGTCTTTTCGATGCCCCTTTCCCCTGCTCGGGCCCCAAACGCTCCGCGCCCAAAAAAGTTTCCCCGCAACCATGTGTGCAGCGCGCAAGCGGCTTCACTTCCGCCTCTGCTTTCTATTGCGTCTCGCCACTTCGAAATTCGCCCCCCGCGCCGCTTTCTGTTTCCTGCGTGCATGTCTTGCACAGTCTTGAAGCGCTGCGCGTGGCCCTTGTTTTTTTTCTGGCGTTCCGACGTTTCGGCTGTTTCGCCGAAAAGCGCAATGCACATCGAGCTTGAGCGTCGCACCCCTTCCGTGGCATCATCTTAGCTCACGCCCCCAACTCGCGATCTCCGCCGAACCTTCATGCCTGCGCACTCTGCGCAATACTTCGCCCTCAGTGTTTTGGCGCCCCTCCACGCGCACTTCCTAGGTCGCCGCCCCCGCGGTGGCCGACCTGCGACGCCCCCTCGCCGACTTTGACGTTTGTCGCCCACGCGCTGCACGTCGCGCGCCACGTTTCCTCTGCGCTTCGCAGTTCCACCATGCGTTTCTCTGCGAAGCGCCAGCCCCTCCTTCCCATGGAACACATGTTTCGCAAATGCCTCTGGAAGCAGCCTGCGCCGGCACCGCGCGCGCTCCTCTCGCGGCATCAGCTATGCCCCCCCCCCCCCCCCCTCATGGTTCACGCCTTCCCCCTCGGAGAACCTACAGCGCCTTTTTCGCGCCCGCGACCTGCCGCGCGCTTCCTCGATCGGGAGAAAGAAGAACAAGGCGCCCCGAGCCAGAACAGCAAACAGCGACCGGAAGCGATGTGAGACATGATAGACTGCAGAGCGGCATCATTCAGAACATCGCCTGCTGGGCCGCGCTCTACGCCCCGCGTCGGGCCAGGGGCTCCTAGCTCGGCAACCGCTGCCGCCAGCCTGCCACTGCCCGAGAAGACCTCTATCGCGAACTTGCCAAAGACAGGTTGCGGCAGGCCGCTGCCGGCTGCAGCGTTGGCCGCCACCCGCCTCGAAGGATGCGAGCGATGTTGGCCCCCGCTTCCCAGCGCCAGCGGTCGGCCCGGGGAGCGAGCGCCATGCGCAGCCGCTGCGCTCGGCCGGCCCTCATGTAGCGGAGCAGCGAGCGGTCGTTGGCCCACCTGCCCCTCTGCTTGATCGCCAGAATCTCCCCGGCCTTCATCGGGAAGTCCTTCGACGCCCCGCCGCGTCGCAGGTGGCGCATCTCAAGGTTGAGCGAGCCCAAGCCCGCTGCGCGGCAGGCTGCCTGGAAGCGGCGCAGCAGCTGGCGCTGGCTGAAGCCGAACATCCAGACGCCTGGGCCCCCTCCACGCAAGCCAGCAAGGAGGCCCCCCCCAGCTCTGGGAAGTCGCGACTGCCCAGCGAGAGCGCGTCGTTGAACTGCCCGACCTCGGTCGGCACCTCCATCTCGAACGGGCGGAGCAGCAGGCTCCAGCACGCGAGCGCCTGCCCCGCGCTCCTCGCGGGCTCCAAGATATCGCCCTCCACGATCGAGACCAGCTCGGACGGCCCCAGGTAGCGGCAGAACATCGGGGCGAGCGCCAGCACCTCCTCGCGATGGCCGCGGACGCAGAGCGCGCCGAGGATGCCCGGCAACAGCCCGAGTGGCAACGGGCCCCTGCTGCCGACTGGTCCGTCTCGGCTCCAGGCCCTGAGGGCCCGGCGGAGGCGAGGCAGACGGGGCTTCCCGAGCCGCTGGCTGTCGTGGTTCTCTAGCGCCGACAGTATCTTGGCCCCCCTATCCACCTGCTCGCTGCCGAGGAAAGGAGGTCGGCGCAATCGCGCAGCGCGTCGTCGCAGAGCTTCAGGTTGGCCAAGGAGAGACCGTGGCTTCGCCCGAACTCTCAGAATGTGTCGAGCCGCCTCGAGCAGTCCCCCCTGACCGGCTCAGACGGGCGGGCGCGCTCCAGGAAAGCCCCTCCCATCTTCAGCGCCTCCCGGGCTGGGGCCCTCTTGAGGGGGCCCTGCCGCCCCAAGGCCGAGCGCCGATCGGACCGTCTCGTCTTCTCGGCGAGGGTCGTGTCCAGCGGGTCGGCCACCCTCGCGGGCCTCGCAGGGGCTGGCGCACAGGCTCGGCTCTCGGCCCGCGCCAAATGCTGCGAAGCGCCTTTCGAGCTCAAAGAAGCCGGCCGAGCCTTCACCACCGCGCCCTCCGCCACGGCAGAGGCGCCCCGACGGCGCCGGCTGCTGCTTCCGAAGCCACTGGCCTGCGCCTTCCAGGCACGAGCCGCGCTGCGACGAAGGCGCTGGCGGCCCTCTCCATAACGAGGGAACTCGAAGTACCTGGAGTCAGCGCCACTCGGATTGAGCTCAGACGGAACCCAGCGAAAGTGGCGACGCGCGCCAGAAGCAACACTGAGAGCCAGAAGACTGCGGCAGGCACTCAGAAGAGCTCTGCTTCTGGCTCGGCCCGTCTCGAAGGTCAGGATAGCGGCCATAGAGCCCCACCGGATGTAGAGGACCCCCCAAAACTCGAGCAGCCCGTTGCTTTTGACAAGCAGCAAGAAGGGCCGCAGGGGCCGCCAGGCAGAAGATGGGCCCCTCATCCTTCCAAGGACCCCTGATGACTTTGGCCCAGACCGACCCCGCGAGGTTGTCCTTCGGCGCCCCCCGAAACGCATTGTCCAACGACCACAGACACGACCGATCACGACACGGCTTGACTGACTCGATACCCCCCCAGTCTAGCGACAGGAAGATGTTGTCCCTGGGCAACGCCCCATCGCAAACGTCCCCCTTGAAACTCCCCCCCCCCCCCGTTCGCACAACTCCCGCACCATGCATACTGGCGTCAAAACAAGACGCGTCACAATCGAAGTCCCTCCCCAAGTCGGCAAAGGCAAACGGGATCAAACAGCCGGCCGCCCAACACTTCCTCGCGACCGATGGCCACTGGCGCGCCCGGGAAGCGTAGCTGGCTCGAATGAAATCACGCGCATTGTTGAGGATCGACAAGAAGAGCCGATCCGGGCCAAAGTGGAACGGTAGTGCGCCCTCAGAACCTCTTGATCTCCTGACCCGACACGAACGGCGCCGACCCCAACCGATCCAACACAGACTTGGGCTTCCACTGTTTAATCTTTCTCCTCGCGTAGTGCCGTTCGGAAAGTCGATCTCCAAGCCCGCGGCGGCGGCCCGCTCGCTGGCTGCCTCGCGCTCATGCGCGCGAAAACCGACAGACCCGACGCCGCCGAACACCTGATTAGCTACTCTATCGACCTGCGCCTTTCCCTGGCCACAAACGCTGATGCAATCAACGTAGACGCTGTGGGCGGGCTCGCCCAGACCAGGATGGGGGCCCGCAGGACTCGAGCAGGCCTTCATCTCCAGGGTTAGAGGAACGGTGAGCAGGGCAGTAGCGCATGATTGTGCGAAATAGCAAGCCCAAGACAACCCCATAGGAACCACTTTTGACCGTGGGTAAATCTTGTCTGCGGGCAACACAGGCACCCCCATCAATCTCGCGAGCGCCAGCTCGGAAAAAAGTTACAATCCCGAAACCACGGGCCGGGGAAAGTAGGAGCTCAAGCCAAGCGAGAGCCCGCAACAATGAAACAAATCTTAGATATCGCCGAAGACAAACATACGGGTCGCCGCCCCCTCGAGAATACAGAAGGCGCGCCGCGTCAGCCGGCCCGCCCAGCCGAACACGGGCTGTCGCGCATCCTACGATTCGCGGGGCGACAGTTCAGCGTCAATCGCAAAGCTCCAGACTTCTTCTTCGCGAAGAAGGGCGCGACGGCCAAAGCGGAGCAATCCCGATCTGTGACCCCTCATCAGAAACTCGAAATACAAGTCAGCGACAGTCTCCAGAACTGGATCCATATAAAGCTTGATATACTCCTCATTCTCTGAAATATGGCCCCAATCGTCGGGGCCGTGCAAGATCTCCTCCTCAAAATTGACGAGCCACTCCCTGGGCCTGCCCTCCAGGATTGCGGTCAAATCCACGGGATCTGCCCCCGGGAGAGGCAGGGCAAGCAAGTCCTTGTCGCAACTTGCGATGGGAAGTTCAGGACCACCTTCATTGCCCTGGCCTGCGCCGAGCAACTCCGACGAACGTCCAGAAGGCGTTGAAGCGCCGTCGCCCGAGACAAGGTTGGGCGCGAAGAAATGGGTGGCTAACGACCACAGTGCAACCAATTAAGCGCCTCAACGGAGTCGGTAGCGCGGCTCAAAACTGCCCCCTTGCGGTCGAAGCGCCGCCGCAGCCTCCTGCAACCATGCCTCGGCCAAAAAGCCGCAGACCTAGCGCCTGGAACTGGTTGATGAAAAAAAAAAAAAAACGAGGAGCGAAGCGATGCCCGACCACCACGCAAGCGCGAGGTCGAACTGAAGCACCCAAGCGGATGCCACGAGATGCGGCCCTCCACGCCCCACTTCACTTTTGCCGCCCACATCCCTGCCCTTGTCGGGCTTGCCCTTGCCCCCGTGCCTGGACTCGTCGATGGCCTTCCTCTTCTCCTTCATGATCGCGGCCTTGTCCTTCAACCTGTTGGTGGCGTAGCTCATCAACGCGTCTGGGGTGCTCCCAGCCCCGCGAGTCCCGGCCCAGCCCATCCTGATTGGTTGCTGGGCGGCGAGGCGCGAGCCTCTTCCAGCGCGCTCTTGCGCCTCACCAAAAGCTCCGCGCCCGCGAGGCTTGGGGGGTTGCACTGATCGATGCGCTGCAGCGCGTGGAGCACCTCGCAGATTAGCTTGCACTCGTGCGCCGAACGACCTCCTGGCGGGACGCGAGCTGCGACTGGCCACTACCGAGCCTGCGTCTGCCACGTGAGGCCTTGCGAGCGGAGCGCGGTAGCCGTGCCGAGCGCGACCCTCGGGCCCTTCGGGGAACCGTCGAGCCCAGGCTCCTCGAACATCTGCACGACCCCGTCGTTGAACCCGCGGTTGCGCACCCCGCGCTCGAACCTCGGCTTCATGGCGCGGCAGTCGCTGACCTCCGAGGCGCACAAATAAATCTCCTCGTCGCGGAAGCTGGCGACCCTCTGCGAGGCGACCCACTCCACGAACAGTGGTGCAGAGGCCCCCAAGGCCAGCATGCACGCGGCCACCGCCTTCGTCGACTGGAAAGGCCCAACGGGCGCGACAGGAACCTCATCACCGATCTTCCAGCTCCCACAGGGCTCCGCCAGGAGCCACTCGCCAGCACCTGGAACGACGATGCCTCCAGCTGGTGGAGGCGGTCCCTGGGCGACTTGCCCCAACCGAGCAGCTGCGTCTGCACCTCCGCGTTCGCCGCCGCCGCCGGCAAGGCCGCCTGCGGAGGCGGGCCGCGAGAGGCGTGCGCCAGCTGGCGTGGCGGCGCAGATGGGCGGCCGGCGTCGTCCAGGAACGTGACATTCACAATGTCGGGATCGTTCCTGTAGTCTTCCTCGCATGCGTCGTCGTCCGTGGTCAGGGCCCAGGCTGACCCTCCGCCTGGATGCGCCGTAATCACCAAGCGCCCGTATGGGAACGCCTCCCCCGCGAAACCGACCAGCAGGCGACGCCGCGGACGCAGGCCTTCGCTTGTCGGCTGCGGCCACCCATCCAGGCGCACCTGGATGGGAGGGGCTGCTGCTGGAGGCGGCGCATCTGCGGGCGGCGGCGCCAT